CTTCCTAAGCTTATGTCGTTAAATACAATAAGTAACAGGAAAATGGTAAAAAAATACCATAAGATGAAAAACAATAAAGATTATATATATCTTTATATCATAATATAACATAAATTAAGCCTTATCAGAACAGTAATACTTCCTAGTTTCTACACAGATTATGTTGTTAGAGTCAAAAGTTTAATTTAAAACTCACAAATATGTCTTATTTTCTACAAAAATTAATGTCGATAAAAATATAAGTTTAATTTCGAATTAAAATTCACAAACTTATTTATACATAACTTGTGTGGGACAAGACGACAATCCACGACTCAAATTTTTATGAAATTATACTTTTACATGGAAAAATAACGAAAGAAAATATGTAATATCAATCATTGTAAAATGATTGAGATTCTTTCACCCTTAATTAGTATTTTCAGATTCGAATTCAATGTGAAAGAATATTCTATTGGAAGTACTATTCAAAAGTGAGTCTTGTAATGCTCAAATTAAAACTAATCAAGTTGTTATTCATATACCGAACATCAAACGAAAAAAAAAAGGGAAAAAGGACAAATATATTCCTAAACTATCATAAATGTTATGCAGATATCCTCCGTTATATTTTTGGGACATTGATGCCCCTGCCGTCCAAAAATTAGAACATAAATATTTTTTATATTAACAGATATACATATGTCATAATTATATCCACCACAAAACATTTATTAAATATCGAATCAACGAATATAATTGTGCTACGTATCCCTATTTAATATTCCGTTAAAATGAAGGACAAATATACTTTAAATTTTGAACGACAAAAATACAAATATCTCAAAAATATGACAGATAATATGTGCATAACATTTACGATCTTTGGAATATATTTATCTTTTTTCCTCAAAATATGTAACAGAAACTATTGAAGGTACCAAAGTGCAACTGAAAAGTAATAGGAAGGTGCATTGCATATAGTAAGCTGTGAAGTGTGAACCAAACAGAAAGCTATCTCATACATTTAGCTAAGAGCTATTGCTTCTGCCACTCTTGTTCTCTGTCAATTTTCATCTCCAGCTTTAATTATCTCCACCAAAGTTGAAGTCTTTCAGCTTCTTGAGTGTTCTGTGTGTCTATTCTTTGGTGGGTATTCTATATTTTTGCTTTCTTGGAACTAATTTACCCAAAGAAAGCTCCTTTATGACTTTTGGGTCTACCCCAATTCCTCTTTTCTATGTTTACCCAAAGAATTATACTTTGAAAGTGTCATTTATACATTCTTGATTTTTGGTTGTCTAATTCATATATGTGGATTATGTTTGAGCACATGAACTGAAAGGGGCAGTGTGGTTAAAATAGTTTGGATTAATTAGTTATGTTTTTTCTTATTGATGAGATAATTTAGTTAATGTTTCTTATTTTGGTGAAGGTTTCTTCTGATGTGTATGGGGTAGCTTTTGAGTTAGGATGCCTTTCTTCATTCCAATGAATGTATCTCCATTTGCCATTTCTTGCTCTAGTCAGAAGATTCAAGGGACTGATGAATGTAAGATTTTTTCATGTTTGATGTATTTAAGTTCCAGTTCTCTCTTTTTAATCTGTTTCAAAAAGAATGTATTTTCCTTTTTACAACTCTTTAATTCCAATTTTTACACGTAGACATGCTTAAGATCACAGGATCAAATGACATTTTGATACATTATATATCTCTTTAGTTTATGACTACAGGATTTAAAAGTCGTTCTTTACTTTCTTAAACTCAAAGCTAAGTTAAAACCAGACAAACAAATTGAATAGGAGGGATTATAATTTAGTATCAAGATGCACAACATTTTCTTCTTCTTGTGCTAAAGAGACTAAGTATTTATAATACGAATAGAGATGGACTTACATCACGCTACATGGATAGTGAAGATTCATATAGCCATAGAAATAGTTGTGTTGTTGTAGACACATATTTTCGTGGACTGCAACAGTTCAGTTGTTGTTAACCTACAATTGGCTGGACATAGGTTTCTTACCTCGACGGACAAATTACTATGATTGTTTGCGAGTGAGGCACTGGCTGGACATAGGTTTCTTACCTGGACGGACAAATTACTATGTTTTGCGAGTGAGGCACTGGAGAAACAACTTGACTTGGAGAGATATATAATAGGAAAATGAAGGATCAAGGAAGATAACTATGATGCGATTACCAGGATTTCTGTTATGTGAACATGCTGTGAAGCTTTATATAGATCATCATGATACAGATGTTGTGAGAAAATGCTTTATGAAGTGACCAGACTGTTCAAAAATATTAAGTGTGTTATTGACTACAGCTTGAAAGTTAAAAGGAAGAGCTAACCAGGGGATCTGTCCTCCTTCCTTATTCTAATGTATCCAATGGAAAAGATAAGCGTGTCGCGGCTTCATTTTTAGGTTTACTTGTCACAAGGCTGTTTCAGTGTCCAGTCTGATATATTTTCTTTCTTTTTCTTGTGTTTGACATATATAGACCTCTCATGAGTACTGCGTTATCCACACAGTGTAGTGATTGAATTGTTCCTGATTCCGGAGATTTCTCTTTTCCTGATTTTGATTCTTTTTAACATGACAGATAAACTACAATCACGGAGTTCTGGTATATTATCATCTAAAGAAGAAGGAACTCGTCGCCAGCTTCTTGCAGTAGGTTTTGCCAGTCCTTTGGTTTCACTTTTAACATACAGCTGCAGCTTAAAGGTGCTACCAGCTTGGGCAGAGGATCAAGAGATTCAAGACAAGGATGAAAGTGTGGTTGGGGCTATTAAGTCCTTGTTTGATCCAAATGAGACAACAAAGTCAGGAAAAGTCTTACCAAAGGCTTATTTGAACTCTGTAAGAGAGGTGGTGAAGACATTGCGTGAATCACTAAAGGAAGACCCAAACGACATGTCTAAGTTTAGACGAACAGCTGATGCAGCAAAGGAATCCATCAGGGAATACTTGGGTGGATGGAGAGGACAAAAATCAGTAGTCAATGAGGTAATCCTATTCTAACAAACAAAAAGTGGATGTTATTGCACTGTAGCTCATTGAAAAGTTCAGTACTTGCACAATGCGGTGGATTCATTGTTTTAAAATATGTGTAGAAAATTAGAAACATAATTGGCTAAGAAGGACACTGCCATGCATACTGACTTCAAATTTCAATTTGATAGAACCTCGACTTCTCACTTCTCAGGTGGTTGTTATAACTAGATGACGTATTAAAGATCATTTCAGCTTTCTCGAGCGCCTCTTAGCTGCTCAGGCCCTATATGCAGTTACCTTGCCTAGTTGCCTACTGTCAGTATAAATGAAGTTATTTCTTCTCAAACATCCACCGATACAATTTTTGAATTTTGTTGTTTATTAAATGGTTCTCGGACTTATTTGGATAGGAGGGATAGAATAGCTGTGCCGTTTCCTCATTTTAGAGTCATATGTTTTAGAAACCATAAAAAATTCAAGTTGTACAATAAGTAGACTCTGCCAGTTCAATTATGCATTTGAGTTTTGCACTTCTAGAGCACAGATTGCAGAAAAGAAGACAGAAGAAGTAAGCTTGCTGATGCACCTCTGCAGCAATTACTGCTTTCTTTCATCACTAACTCATTGCTTGTAATGGCATTATAGTTTGTGCAAATCAACTGTCAGAAAGAGATTTTAGAGGTCTTGTGATATAACCTGATCAATAGTATAAATCCCTTCCAGTCAAACTGAAGAACACTTGCCCCCTTCTAGCAAGGTTGCCGGCAAACAGTTAGAAGGGGCTCCGTCGAATCCTGTCATGATTGTGCTTGTACCTGGCCAATATATAATTATTGACATGCATTTATGCATCAATCTACACTAGCATGCAAAACAAGACTTATAGTTTAGTTTTTTTTTCTCCTGTAGTGGAAGCAGAAATATTTGACAGTTAAGCACATCCATGTCTTCCTGAGTTTGTTTCATCTGGTCATTGTTTTGACATCGTGCTCAACTTGCAGGAGTCATATGTTCTGCTAGAGAAAGCTATTAGATCTCTGGCCAGTTTTTATTCAAAGGCAGGCCCATCTGCTGCACTTCCAGAAGAGGTAAAGTCAGAGATCTTAGATGATCTGAATAAAGCAGAAGAAGCATTGTAACATGGGGTGGAAGGTCAGTGGTACATGGTGGAATAGTCGAGGTACACACAAGTTGGCTCGGACGCAACAGTAGTAAAAAAGAGCCAAAAAAAAAATTGTATTATGGTTCTTGATACAGATAGCAAAAGACGCCATTGCAGTATATTATCTTCTGTTACAGTATGCTCAATTAGGTATAGTCTAATTGATAAACGTAACATTTTGTCAAACTATCTTTTGTTGCATTGTTTAGTTCATTAGCCCCTGTCACAAGACCTATTTGTGTGAAGATGCATGAAAGGAAAATGAAGAAAGAAATTCAAATTGCTCTGGGACTGGATGTGTGAGATAGGCAGACAGAGCTTTTCACTGTCAAAGTTAAGGTTTGTTGGTGGCGTGATCAGCTTGCCTTCTAGTTGTGCAACTGAACGACCGCTAAGTTTCCAGCCAGTGATAGCTGAAGTAATCAAATCGGTCACCCCAACGTAGAGCTGTCATTTAAGTGCGATATTATATACAGTCTTATCTTGCGCTACTTAAACCTTGACTTCTTGATTACACGGTTGACAACCCTTACTGTTACACCTAGCCGCATAGGTACTCCACCATGAAGTGACCCTTGGGATTTCACAATGTTATGTTATTGTACTCCTTGAAGTCCCTGTTCTACTAAGTCAGAATCACACTAAAGCATCCAAGAGTCAAGACAACACAATCCACACCCCATTAACAGCATCCACTAAGAAAAACTCAGTATGAAAACCAAAAATTGAAATTATGAAAATACAGAACATATGAAGTTCTACATAAAAAATCGATTGGACTTAGCATAGCTTCAAGTTGCATCTCATTTTTTGCTGAAACAGGTTGCTAGAGCCCAGAGGAATTGCAAAGGCTTCATTTAGGGAGAGAGAGAAACTTCATTTTATTTCATATATCCTCCTTAAATACCATCCTTGTAATAGGCAACTTAAAGAACATAGGTCATAAAACATGGAAATGACCATTGCTTTTTAAAAAAGGTTTACAACCAAATCAAAAACCAAATGCCCTTCTTCACCAGTAAAGCCTCCAATATCTCAAATATAAAAGCTAAAATACTGTAAGTAGCTGCCCGCAATTCCATTCATCTAGTAGCATTCGTCGATATCAAAATAATTTCTTGAAAGAGCCAGAGAAGCGTTTGATGCATTTCAATCCACCTTCTTCTACTACAGAGCTTCCAATAATTATGATATACCTTGTAGAACAGCAGTGTGGTTAACTACTGCAAGGGACAAATAGCAATAAGCAGAGATCATTCCCCACTGATAGTTTCGGAAGGATTAGCCATAAAGAAATTCATTTATATATCTCAAACTAAAGTACTGACCTTTGCTCAAAGAATCTGAATCTTTGCGATAATAGGTATTTCAAGATCGAGACAAAACCCCTTTTGAGCTGCACCAATAAAAAGGAGGAAAATAGAGTTTCAGGAAGAAAAAAAAGGAAAAAAATTTTCCGTTCTTGCACACACACGTTAGTTCCTGTCAAATTGTGCATCTGTTCTGACATGTATGTTTACTGGGTTCATGTTTGAATATAAAACCCTGTTAGGGTGATGGAGAAACTGCTGGTGTGTTGGTGTAACAAAAGGATTTTCTGACAAGTCTATGTATGCGATAAAGAATGGTAACATGAAGAAGAGAAGAAGACATTTACACGATTCAAGCCCGATGGTTTTGTTAGACAAGTAGTTCTACAAACTTACAGGGAAGACCAAACTTGGGCACCCCTAAACAATAACCTCCATAATTCAGACACATTATAAGCTGTGTTAAAAACATGAAGGGGAGGAAAAATAACCAAACCTGGGGACACTTCCACCACGACGCAAGTCATATTCAGTTGCTTGCCGAAGAGCTCTAGCAAACGCCTTGAAAGTTGCTTCAATGATGTGATGAGAATTTTTTCCAGCGAGCTGTAACCAGACAAACTTAAACATCTCAGTATGTAAGCACATAAAGCCAGAGTAAAGAAGGGGAAAAATAGGTAACTGACTGAAAAAAAATGAAACCCCACCCTTTCCACTGTCTCAACAACTCCCTAAAAAAGTCATACAAGCATTTACCTGTCGAATATGGAGCGTCATTCCAGACGTGTTGACCAAGGACTGAAAGAAGTGTTCCACCAGCTAAACATAAGAATGTGATTCAAATCAGCAGGACCCAAAGAGTAGCTATAGACATGAGTGAAAACTAAGACGTAACTTAAAATTAAACAATAAATATTTTGTCACCAGGAGATCACAAAGTTTCTTTCTTTTCTCAACTGTAATAACAATTAGGTGTAAAAGTATTTAGCATGTACACCTGATGTTGGCACACGTTTTAAAGAGACCAAAGGCTTTAACCTGGTGAAATGGGACAGATTACAATAGAGTAGAGAGCAAGGAGGAATGGGGATTAGAAACTTGAAACTACATAATAACAGTTCACTTATGAAGTGATTATGGAGAATCATATTCTTTGGAAGAATTTGATCCAACAGAAGTATGGACAGAATGGATAATGGTGTACTAATGAGGTCACAAACACCTTTGGAGTAGGGGTCTGGATACTATCAAGTCCTTTTGGACATACCTGAGGAGAGTTATAAGTTACTATATGGGCCATGCCCAATGGTAGAAAGACACTCTTCTGGAAGGAAAATTGGACTTGGAAACGAACTTTGAAGGAAACCTTCCCTGATCTGTTCTTTATATGCATGCACCAATCAGATACTAGTATACTACAATTAAAGATGGAATATAGTTTTCAGGGGATTACTGTATGATTAGGAAGAGGAAAGGGTGGGAACTTTTACTGGGATAACTACTGATCCTGATACCATTAGATTGAGGCAAAATTAAGATAGGCAATTTTCAGTTAACAGTGTACAAGACTATATGAACTGGCAGGAAGTTTTAAGGGTTCTTGGAAAACTATTTGGAAAAGCATGGCACCATCAAAGGTGAAATGCTTTTCACGGCTGGTGGTAAAGAAAGCGTCTTACTCTTGAAGCTGTTAAGAGGAGGAAAATTCAGATAACATCCAGATGCCCTCTTTGTATCGAGGCAGAAGAAACTAATAGCCATCTGTTCCTACATTATAAGGTACCACCAGAAGCAGGCTCTTTTCATCTGTTTGGCGAGGGAGGAATGGACAATGCCAGAACATACTGCAGATATACTGAGCTGCTGGATAAGATGAGGTGGAAGCAAGAGTCAAAACAGTACCAGCTTGTGTTTGGTGAAACATATGGAAGGAGAGAAATGATAGGATCTATGAGACAGATCCAGTTCCACGCAAAAGAATAATTGTAACTGAATTACTTCTTTGTGTTTTTGGTGTAAAGAACAATGTGTAGAAGAGGATGTACAGATAGTGGACTTTTTAGGAGTTTTGTAATTAGTTTCTCCCTCTAAAATCATTTTTTTGAGGTGATCAACATACCCTTAATGCTGAGGAATCCAAGTTATCAATTTCAAGAAAAAAAATTCAAAAAAATTACAGGGATTGATTACCTATCAAATTATACATTGTTAAATTAGACAATCAGAAACTTCTTTTATCTTCAACAACTAAAATTGGATTAACCAAATTCAAACAGATGATAGCCATGGAGACAACCTATATAATACTGGGGATATTGAAAATCTTCCATCTACCTTATAAGAGACAGATGCTAATTCTGAATAGAAGTCAAATGAAGAAGGAACTTGGAGATACTGAGTGTGTTCGTAGTCGAATGAGAATATTAGACAAACCTGAGTGTCATATGTTCCAACTCTCTGAGTAGGTATTTGTACATCAAAGTTCAAATGTGGCCTTCCTGATAAATCCTACCACAATAAGATTACCAAATAGTCATTATAAGTGCAGATTATGATCATAGATAGGTCAATATGATTGTATTTGATAAATCATGACATTTTTCTAATATCTCACTAGGTTGGTGTGACTGCAACAAAATAAAACAATAAGCTATGCCTTTGTATCCCCAAAATTGTATCCAACAATTTACACAAACAAGAATTTCCTCTTTACACCATAAGACAGCTAAAACACCACAGAGTATTCAACTTTTGTCTAAATTCAAAGTCCTGTAATTTTTTTCCCTCCACAAGAACCATAACACCATGGGACTGAAGAACCATAACACCATGGGACTGTTTCAAACTTTTTTTTTAGCATCCAGCAGTTCGCATAAAAAGATGAATATCTAAAACCAAAGAAATATTTGTTCTCATACCAGAGAAAATATTCATCTTGTCTAATCATTGAATGCAGAAGATTTTATGAGGCTATGTTCAAAGTGAAAGGAAGAAGAATTTAGAGATCTTCCTTTATGGAGGTATGTAGAAATTCTGCCATAGTGGTGACTTGAGATATAATCTTATTTATAGTTGTAACTTTGCAGAAGGCTGACAAGGCAATACCCTTTAGACATAGAATATCTGAAAAATTAAGTGACTGAGCTGAAACAATTTCACGTTCCCAAAAAGTTATCCTTACCAGTGATACATGAACCAGAGCTTCATCCAATGGAGCTGAGAAGTCACCAAAGCGATTGATTCCCTTTCTATCTCCAAGTGCTTGCAACAATGCCTGGATAGCCAAAAAAATAAAAGTAGAAGTCACCAAAATATAGAAGTCAAGGGTCTCAAGAGATAGAAATAAGGAATGCAGCACATAATGCAGAGTGACTCAAGTAAGTAGAAGAGCATCTCCATCAAAATTGATGTTGCACCCACTTGTACATATAAAATGAGTAAAGCGACCAACACACTGAAAGACCACAAGGATTCTGAATTACTGGTTTTAAGCTCCTAAGAACTCACAGTTCCAATGGCAAGTGCGACATCTTCATTTGTGTGGTGATCATCGATGTGAATGTCGCCAGTAGCTTTTACATGCACGTCGAACAACCCATGTGAAGCGAGTTGCTAACAAAACATAAACAAGTTTCAGTACTAGCACAATACCAGAAGTAATTCAGATGTAGTCAGCAACTGAGTTGAGAAGTACAAATCAAATAGCTACTCCTCAACATCCAGCAATGTAAAATAGGTTGTAACCTTCATAAAATATATACATAAGAAAGTAGAAAATTAACATGTAACTGAAAGAGAGAACAAAGATAGAATCTTTAACTATGGAATTATGTCAGCTTTTTTCTTCCAGAAAAAGAAGGATAAGATCACACATACATATGCAATCCTTCTCCTATTATTCTGTAGTTCTCTTATTTCTTAATGGTATTCCTGAATAAGCACTCTTGAAACAAAAGGGATAAATGAACCTTTTTTTTCCTTTGAGGTAAATCTCTATGATTACTATTTCTATTGCCTCTAGAACAGGGGAACAAGATTTCAACAAAGTTCATATTTTTACCAAAAAGAAAAGGAAAAACAGTAGCAGTCCAACAATTCTTTATTTCACAGGTTATTTAACCTTTATCCCAGATATGTTTGAGTACAACACACCAGGATACAGGATCAAGAAATTTAGCATGTTTTACCCTCTAAAAGCTTAGACAGTTAGATATGGGACATTATATTCAAAATCTGCATCACACCCTCAAGTCTGAACTTGATTCTTTCCCCCAAGTCAAGTTCGTATATTTTATTCTGCAGAAGGATGGAGACACTTGAGCCTAACACCAAGTTAAATGACGTATACCACCATGAAGCATTTCTGTTTTCATTTGTCGACAACGGCAACAACATACCAGTGTAATCCCACAACTGAGGTCTTGGGGGAGGATGGTGTGTGTACGCACACATTACCCTTACCATGTGGAGGTAGAGAGGCTATTTACGAGTTATATATCAATCAACTGAAAAGTGAAAATAAAGTCTCTTTTCATCAGAAAAAAATCACTTACATCCAACATGTGATCAAGAAATGGAATCCCAGAATTATTCTCCGCAACACCAGTTCCATCCAAGTTTATCCTCACATGCACATTCGTCTCTTTCGTAGTCCTCTTCACTTCCCCAATTCGACCTATCCAAAACCCAAAAAATACATAAACCAACTTTATCTCAATCCCTAACTAGTTAAAATCAGCTACATAAACTCTTTTCAACACATTTCTTTACAATTCTATCAAAACCCATTTCAAGTTTTTAAAAATAACATAAACCCAATTCCAAAATAAAAAAACCCAATAAAATACATCAATAACCGCACCTCAATCCCAACTACCCTGTATCGGATGTATGAATTCATTATAAAGAAACCCATTTGATTAAAAAAAAGTGTAAAAAGCCACCCAATTTTAGAATACCCATTATTGAGTTGAGAAAATGGATTTACCTGTTTCAGAGGAAGTTATGGAAGACCCATTATCGAAAGCATGAGGAATCGTTGTTTGAGGTTCCATTGAAGCAGCTAGTTTGTGGTGTAAACCAGTGAAAAATTGCAACTTTTGGTGATGATTGTTTAAGGAGAAGAGATGGGTTTGTGAAAGCTTAATTCTTGAATTGAATAGCGAAGGTAGTGATGAAGAAGAGTTGAAGAGACGATGAGAAAGTGATAGCTCCATATGTGAGAGACGATTGTGAGCTCCGTTTTGACCAAAGAACATCGTTAGCTCATAATTATGTCACTTATTAAAAGTAAATTACTATATTTATTTTTAAAAAATAAAGTATTTACAAATAATTTTGATAAACTAATAATCTTTTATATGATTTTTACTTTGATTCACTACTTTTTTTTTTAATCGATTACACATTCCACTCATTCAGCAAAGTTTTAGACAAAAAAAAAATCATCTAATTTTGTTTTTTATCAACTTCATACATTAGCTCTCAAGATCATTCATTACAAGAGCAAAAAATTTGATGCTATATATATATAAATATATAATGACACTTATTTTAATAAATTTTTTCGAAGGTTACAATTATAGCGATCCTCCTATTTAATTATTTTGACCATTTCTAAATATCTTCATTGATAATCAGTTCTACTGTTCAGAGTCATGATTTGAAGTCTTTTGAGATGTTGGTTAAATCAATTTCGTTAAAATATTACACGGAATTAAAAAGTTAAATTTCCTTCAATTATGATGAAACTAGCAACAAACAACTTTTGTTACTAAGTTGACAAGTTGTGTAGACACATTTTAGAGATCCAAAGTAGAATCAGAAAAAGAAATAATACTATACAAATTCTGACTAAAAAACATACATCACTGGTTGTACTTCTTGTTTTCAAGATCTACTACCATTTCCACAATCCACAACCTGGCATAACACTTGGTTTTTTCCTGTTCTTCGAAAGAATCAACTTACTATGTCTCCGTTCTTCGTCAGAAGTAGAGAGGATTTTCCCTGTCTTGAGCCTTTGAAATCCTTGGAGATACTTCCTTCTCTTAACTACACCATGGATATAAGGTATTAAACCTGTGTATGAATCCATCCCACATCTCTTGTATGCCATGATATGATCAATTTGCAGTTTATAACTCTACTAAGATAGATATGGCCATTTATAAGCATGAGAACAAAGTAGACATGCTTTGCACGTCCTGTGTTTGTGACTAATTTCTGAGTAACCAGTAAAGAATATAGCAAGGAAGTCAAAAGTGCATGTATCCGTGTGCATAGAAGATGTCAAACTTCATCCACATCCAACCTTACCAGACAAGAATTTGGGACAGATTCCATCTAACAATTATTAGGTCAGTTGTTGTGACAACATATATAAATTTCCATTTTCCAGATTCAAAGAATCTAGATATCTACCATAAGTCTGATATATCGATAATAGATAGATAACAAACGGAACGAAATACAAAAACTGGATAAATCTGCTGAATTCAACACTGCAAATAGTGTAAGTAACAACAGGAACTTAAGAACCATCCAATATGTAAAAAAAATATGTACCTTACAAGAATCTGTGTCGCTAGCAAGATCAGGCAGAGTCCTAATAGGAAGCAACTACGAGGGATCTCAATCTCATCATGAAGAAGTTTAACCAGAAACTTGGATATTTGGTGATATTATCATTTCAATTGATGAATTACAAGGATCCCTGAGGACCTTGGTAATAGAATATTAGATCTACACAAAACTACATATGTACATTCAAAATCTTCGTGGGTGTCTCTCACCAATGGAGTCCATTAGGTTCACAAAATTTGCTGTCTTATCCATGAGGTACAATTCACATACCCTTTTGATAATGATACTACTAATAGGCTAGTGATTGTACCACCAAACTACTATAAGACAGACACTCCACTATGCTGATAGGTCGATAGAGACAATGGAAACATCAGCTCCTGAAGGGCTCCGAGTGTCTCAATTTCCACAGATGGTTTAGGACATTGGTTTCAGAGTATCCAATCAAAAGCTGCTATATATTTCTGAAACCCTCCACCTAGATGACAGCAGAGAAATTGCACAACTTCTAGACCAATTCTTTTATAATTGCCTTCCTGAATAACTGTTTCCTCTTTCCCTTCACAACATAACCCACTGAAGAATCAAAATTGGTTTGATTGACAAAACACAAACAGCTTCAGGAACGTCAGATGACCTTGATTACCCAAAACTAGTTCCAGTGAGGAAACAACTTCATAGAGGACTTGGTGTAAAATTCTACATCGAGCTTACGTTAATTACCGTGATGTTTAAGTAGCATAGTCAGTGTGATTAGCATCAATAGGCCTAGACCAGAGTCTAACTCTTTTCTTCATCAGCAAGTTCTGCAGAAACATCAGCAGAAGAATCAACAGTTCCACTGCAACTGCCCGCTACAGTTACTTCATGAGTTTCTGCCTGACCAGGATCAGAGTGAACTATCCTCTCATCAACAGAAACTTTTGCTCCAGAACAGCCATCAGAAGGGTTCAAGCCACATGCTTGAGATCCAGGACAGAGAGAAAGTTGACAGTCAGTGTTATTTTCTGGGGCAGCATTCAAAAAAGTTTCAACCGAGGAATCAATTGCAGGTTTAGAAGAAGAAACTTCAGCACCATTATTGTCATTAACTCCATCACCAATTGAAGAGGAATCCAAATTACCCTCCTCCAAGGAAACATCTCCGTCATCAAGACGTTTAATATCAGAAGTTTGCTTTAAAGCCACATTTCGCCCATTCTGCATGCCAGGTGTACTTGGTTGAGTAGAGTCTGAGAGGACATCTATGGAAGGCTTTGTACTCTCACAAGTTGCAGAGTCACATACTGAAATTTTTGTCTCGTCTTCTTCTTCTGCACTTGGTGCAGCAGGTTCTTTAAAACAACTAGCTTTGGTATCTGCCGATAAACCTTTCCCATTGGCATCAATGGAGATATTATCTAAAAGCTCCTCATTCTGTTTCTCTACCTCAATGTTTCTGGCAGAAGCTTCATCCAATGAAATGCACAATTTTTGATGGACTGGCTCAGATGATTGGTCATCAACTTCTGTGGAAGGACCCGATGAAACATCTCCTGAATCAGCGTTTCCTAAACTTGCACCGGAAGGAGAGGAGGGCATTGATTTTGTGCTCGATTCAGGCAGCTTCTTCTCCACATTGCATTGGACAGATGTAGCCTCCTTAGTGGAGATTTGAATATCTGATCCACAATCAGCACTTTCTGTTCTAACCAAAGCACTATCACTTAAATCGACAGGTGTAGATGGAGAATCAGAAGCACCAACACCGTCATCAACTTTTTCTATGCAGGCCTGATCATGCAAGTTCCCATCGCACTTAGTAGGGGAGTCGGAGTCCTTATCAACTTTTTCAATCAAAGCAGGCAACCAAGGAACACTATGTTTCGAATCACCAGCATTTGTACCAGCTACAGAAAAATCCAGAAGTTCAAATCACAAACATGGACAGCAAAGATTAAAAGATACCAAAAGAATTTCTAAAAAGGCAAGCAAAAAGTAAAAGCAGAAATTTAATTATTATATTACCCTCTAGGGTCTCTCCATTTTGTAACCTCTTTTGTAGCATATCTGTCCCAGGAAACACCAACATATTGATGGACTTCATCTCTAGCCTTGATGAATCCTCAAGTGAATTAAATCCAAAACCTACGGTCCAAGTATGCATATGCTCAGATATAGCAGGAATAATCAACTTCTGAACTTTTAGTGTGGAGAGGACCTGAAAAGATGAGACCACAAATTTAACTGTTGGTCTGCAGTCCAATATTGACGACCAAAATACGAAGAACATAATCAACATGCAACGAAAGCAGATGCATGGGATAGCTGGAAAAGGTATGACATGCATTTATTAACCACCCCGGAAAATCACTTATACTATTCAAGTTTTAAGATGTCCTACATACTAGAACGTATATATATCCCCGTTAATGGGAGATGAAAAAGCAACAGGAGTGAAAAGAATTTCAAAATGGATGAAGCCAGGTTCCCGTCCTTTCTTTCACAGTCACCATTTTCTTTCGGTAAGAATACAGCTGCCCTATGCTACTTAGCCTCTTGGGAACTTAAGACATTCTTATATATTCAAATATTAATTCACCAAATAGATAGTATTGCTTTTTTTTTCTAGAGCATCAGATATTACAACATTTCCTGACGCATCATAAATTTCCACACAACTATTTGCTTTTTCATGTTTCTTACATACACATCAAGTGACTGCAGTTGTAGCTGTCACTTTAATAAAGTGCTAAATTAAATTATCTGTTCGCTACTTCTGAAGACCAGAACTGCAACAGAAAAGAAATTAGCATGTCCTTTGCTCCAATAAATCCTTTGGCGTAAACAAAATGATGACTCTCAACAGCTCATTTTATAATTGCATAGCAATAAATGCAAGTGAAAGTATGTGACATATCTTAATGATCTCTTATGTACACAACCATCTTCAAAACAATTAGATGAACAAAGTGAGGAAGCAATAATTATTCTAATACCGTCTCAATAGCAGACAGCAAGCGGCGGCACATCCCTTGGCGCCTATATATATTCCTGGTCCCAATGTATGGCATTTCCGCTAGTTGAGTTCCATGGATCCTAAATTACATCCAAAACATGTTTATTGATTGGTAAGGCATGACGGAACAAACATGAGCAAAAGACAACTAATAAGAAAAAAGTTAAACAAGAAATTATCTAACAGAAAAATTTAATTTGAGAGAGTGATGAGTAGAGAGGTTCCTTTACATGGATTCTCCTAAAAAAATAAAGTCCCTTTACATGAAAATTAAAAAAAAATATTGCTTCTGAGAGTAATTTGAAGCAGTAGCTGACATTGAGATACATTCAGCTAAATTCTGGCAAAAAGGATGATCCACTATTGCAATAAATTCTAACACTAATTGATAAGCATGATTACATTTCGTTAAAGATCATAAATCCCAATGCAAGGAACAGAATCGCCAGTTCTAAGACAGTTCAAATGTACAACATATCTAAACTCATGCACCAACTCTATCATTATATGAAAAATAAACTTGAATATTCAAATGGAAACAACTTGAGCAATCCAGTATACCTGATGGATGCAGCAGATATTATTTCATCACCCCTTTCCAAGATTGCCGTATAGAAGCCATGAAAATTCAACCGAGTAAAGTTTGAGCTTCATAGGAAAGAAAAACATCATCAGATAACCGCTGAAAAATACAACCAAATTCAGAGAAAAGGGAAGATGGAAAGAACTCAGAACACAACAACCGGGTAAAAGACGAATCTAAAGACACACAAGCATATCCAGCAAAATCATAAAGAAAAAATAGGGAAATATTGTTCTTAGACATCAAAATAAAAATCGCATGGCTACATTGACAATTCTGCTTTTGATTTCCAAACAAGAGATAAGGGTTGACCCAACAAAATCAATATATTGCCCTCAGTGGTGATTCAAAAACCCAATCTGCAAAATTAAAAGAAAACATTTGTTCTAACAGGCAACTATATCATAAAGAATCACAATGAAGGAATAGACACATTCCCATGAATATGGCTTTTAACATCACAGTGCCATTTGGGATTTCTTTGATGACAGAGAAAAGGCGTGGGCATAATCTACTTGTGATTAGATAATCTCTGCATTTCAAGGCAGAGTCTACGAGGAAGATAAAGTGGCAACAGAAAAAAGCATATTCAGTAATTTTCTATGTTTACAGATTATGAGCATCAGCCCAATACAAAAGATGAAAAATAAGAAGCATTGTACTCCCTCCCCTCTCAGTCAGACCAGTGTAATAGCCTATTATCTTCTGGGATATGAAAAGTGTTTTCTTTTTCTTTCTTAAATGCTTAACTGGGAGGTTTATGATGTTTGCTCAAGCTTCTGGAAAGAAGTGCTTTTGAGTAGTTGCAGAAATGTTTTTTGACGTGAGGACAAAAGATGTAAAATAATAAACATTGTACTCCCTCCCCTCTCAAACTTAATGTTCTGCTTCACCATTGGAAATAAATTAGACCAGTTTAAGTAATAATAGCCTTTTGTCTTCTGGTATATTAGAAGTGTTTTTTTTCAAAAGCTTATCTGGGAGATTATGATGTTTGGTCAAGCTTCTTGAAAAAAAAGTGCTTTCGAGTAGTAGCAGAAATTTCTTTTGTCGTGACTCACGTGAGGATGAAGTTTGATGAAGGTAGCTTCTTCTCAGAAGCAGAAGTACAAGTTGTTTTTAACTTTTACAGGACATTATTTATTTACTAAAAATTCATATTTACCAAACTATCCTCAATGGGCAACAATGCACTTTCCACAGCACATCTATGACCACTCCCTATGTATATTCTGATTTTAATTCAATGAAATTTTAAAAAATTGATAAAACACTCATAACAAATAATTCAAATCCTCTATTTCATGCTCAAACTTGATCTTCATTCTAATACTAAGTATTTGGTCTTTTAAAATAAGTAATTTTCTAAAACTATACATTCTAACATCAAAAACTTACTGTTAAATGGACATACAAGTCTTTGATAAGAATAGAAGTCCTCCTCACAAGCACCAGACGTATCTTGAGTAAGTGTATCAACAACTAAACCTTACTTTCAATTAGCTGGTATTTCCCAGTGTGTTTTTTGTTAGCTAAATTTGTACTGATCCTGAAAATTTTTTCTTTGATAGTGAATCCATTCCCTTTTGCCACATTCCATTACCTTAATTTTTCGCACCTATGAACCTCTGCATCTAGAGGATATATGTATCTATTTTATCTCAAGTGATCTCCTCGTGCTTCATCTTCCATGCATTACTTGCATCCTATATGTGATGTGATCATTTCTTATCCTATATGACACTACAGCCAACTTCAAATTTGTATTTCTATGACATTTTACATTTTTTTTTTTTGAACATCATTTGTTCAATAATTAGGAGGCATCAGAAAATTAATTGAGAGTTAATTTTCTTCATCAAATTTCAGTGTGTAGTATAAGATTTTGTTTAAACATCACTTGCCTCCCAAAACCTTTAAAAACAATTCAAATTCAGTAGATCTGAACTAAATCAGTAGATCTGACATTTTACATTATTAGTAAATGCTGATATTAAGTTATTCAGCCAGCTTAATGAAGTTAATCAAAATAACGGGTCTTCAAGTATTTATCATAACATTTACAAAAGTTAAACAGGGCATATAGAAGGTAAAGAGATTATTACCCGCAGTTATAAAGAACATTATGAATAATATTGATGCCACTTTTCCTATCCACAATTGGCAAAAAACATTCATCCATAACAGTCAGTGCAACAGCTAGTTTAGAATTGCACTCCACCCGTTGAGAAAAGGCATGATGAGAATGATCAGAGTCTAAATCCGTTCGTTGAATTAGGGACCATGAGAATCCAGCTTCAATCTCATGTTTGACACCAAGAATCTTCTGCAGATGATCATACAGCTGCAAAAATAGAGAAGAGATATGAGTCAAACTATTCTAACATATCCTGTGAGTGATGGTGACACAGACTATCTCAGATCAATAAATAGTTTCACTACTTTCGAGCTTGAAAACAGTATCAGACTCTCAGAAAAAATTATTCAAGGACACACAATATTCACCGTTTACTGCATGTTTCTCAATAAAATAACAGAAATCCAACTGAATTTGCTACCAAACTGGTAATTTTGAAGATCATGCATTTGCATAATGGTAACTTTCTGAGAGAAAATAAACTCCAGTTAAGGCTCTTGAGCAACCAGTAAGCAATCAAGGATAGGAAACAAGGAGAAGGGGGTCTAAATTCGTCCATCTCATTCACGCCTCCCCACAGTATTAAACTGTTTGGCCTTCTCAATTCAAGCCTCTAAAACCAAATGCATTTTCCTTTCTACTCCATTTCTAAGTTCCATATGGCAAATTCAGGTTCCTGATCGACGTTGATTGTACAGATCGCTACCATAACTTTTAGAAATTTATCTTCCAGGTCCAAGTTCAAGACTACAAGCTACAAAGAGAGGATTTAGCCCCATGTTCATGGTGGTTTGTGCAACAGATGCTAACCATGTAATACTTGGTATGAGGCATTACATCTGTTTTTTACTGCAGTTCTCATTAGCAGATTTGGAGCTTGTTCTTGAACCTTCTATCGATGCGGCGGGCTACACGAAATACAGTGGAAGGTTTATTGGAAAGCTGGCAAGGGAAAATGTTAAAGAAGTCCTTGAAATACTTTATAGAATAGTTCCTGCATGCACTCTATGGAACATTAGGATGGCATGCAACCATAGATCTTTTAAATTCTAGACAGTCAACTCTTGGCATAAAATGGTCAATTTAACTGATGTTGATCTTCTCATGGACTTTCATTAACTCCTTAATTGTTAAAAAAAGAGCAACTATTCTCTGATTTTTGTGCATCTCTGCACTTTCTTGGTGATACAAATCCAAAAAAAGGCAACTGTATTAAAATAGCAGGCACCAAGAAGGTGCTCAAATATATGCAGGTGAACAAAAAGAAAAAGAAGAATCCATCTCCAGTCTTTTACTTTAAAAAAAAGGCATAATACATATATTGAACCCTAAATTTGGTTTCAAATTTTAACTTTGACCTCCAACTTTCATAATGCACAAACAGACACTTTTACTATCCAACTTTTAAATAAATAAACACATAAGTCCTACATAGTACAATACACGTAGGACACGACAAAAAAAGACATGTAGGATGACATGTAGGACATGTGTGTCTATTTGTTCAACTTTATACAAGTTTAAGTGTCTATTTGTGCACATCCAAAGTTGAAGGGCATAAATGTGATTTGAAGCCAAATTAAAGGGCACATTTATGTATTATGCCAAAAAAAAAGAGGGGTGAGGGAACTTTCCAATTGAGTCATTTCTTCTGATTATTATGCGCATAAGAAGTGTACCAAACAAAGTATTGCTAATACACAGAGCTAATGACAATGAACAACTCAATTCTGAAGGTTCTAAAGCTTTCACTGCATTTTTCAACACATGGATGGACTTTATGACAAATGTTATTTGTTTATTATGAAGGTAAATGACAGTTAACTCCATTAGAATTTGCAACAGGACAACAATTGAAAAATAGTGAACAAAGAAGGTTGATAATTTTTTAGTGATTCTTAATATGCTATATATCAGACAGAGAACTCACAAACAGAACAATAGAAATACCTCTTGGCATTTCTGCCCGCAAAACGATACAGATGGATTATTAGAACTAGAGGATATAGCATTCATATCAAGACTGCATGATTTATGATCTGCAAAATGGAAGGTCAATAATTCAGCTCAATTATAGAAGATGTAAAGCAACTAAACCCCTAAAAGCAAAACAGCGTTACATTTTTTCTCACAGAGGCTGCACCAGAGAAGCTCATCTACAGCTCCCCCACCTTCCTCTGTGATAGTACTGCCGGTGTTACAAAATTTGCATGTGCAATTTGGACAGAGCCAATCACCTGGAGGAAGCATCTGCAAAAAAAATAACATGTGAGCCTGATGCTTAGAGAGACTAGATGTCATCTTCTAGGCTGAATTCGAATAAGCACATAAATAATATTATAAAGTAAGAGAATTTCAAAATCCCAGTCTGCATATGTTGCATCTATTGGAGATGCCTAGGTAGCGTATGATGTTCTAAGGAATAAATATCCTAATCAATGTTCATTTCCATATTACAAAATCAGTTTTGGTGATATTTATGGACTTATCTTTCTTTCCATTCTATTAACGATATAAACAACAAAGTAAAACAGTCTTGCAGATGGAAGGGAAGAGGACAAAGTTATTTTGGAATGTTTTACAGCTCGGTTTCACTGAACAGTTATGCTATAACGTTGTCTGTTGACAGATGTTGAAGCAAGATCAAGGACATAAAATGGGCTAGATTGCATACTGTGGTTGATTGACTTCTGTCACATGGCTCCTTAATGGTTGCATTTATGCACGAGATTTAGGGGCATGTGCACTCAACAATTTCAGATAATCAAGCAGCAGATGGAGCTCAAAAGGGAATAACTGTTCCTAGAAACAAGGAACAGATGCAAATAAAGTACTAAAGTACACTGATCTGCTCACAAAGAGCTACAAGACAGCCATAAACATTTTCGCTAATAAGTAAAGGAACTTTTTCAATTACAGGAGTGTCCTGGCCAACTTGTACGCAGCTTGTCTGATCCACCAAGTACCTGTTGCCTCCCACAAGCATAGGTACCGATAATAACTCAAACCATCAAGACTTAGAAGGGAAGAAATCACCTAGTGCTTTTAGCCTGAGACCTCATGGTTCTCCGCCTGCTTCATTGACCACTATGCTATACACTTGGGTGCTTAAGAATTTCATCATAACTTAAGTTCTTACAAGTGTCTTTTTCTTTTTGAACTTGGAGCAGAGTCATCGTCTTCTCTTTTCTTTTAGCAACTCAACAGGATTGTACTTTTTCCTTCCATTTTTAACCAGTTTGTTTGGTTCAGTTATTGTAAATATCACATGGATGTGATAAAAGTGAAACCAATCATTGGAACTACATATCTTGTAGATCAGTTATATAGCTTTGCAAGATGATCTGAAAAGACATTGCTTCCTCCATTTCTGTAACCTGGTTCTTTCTATATTTCTATTTTATCATTGGACTATGGTGGTTTCTCAAATGGAAATGTTAGTATCAATCTCTATCATTTCGGCCTTTCCCCACAACCAAGCTCTGTTCTTTATTGTTTGTCTTCCATATCCTCAGTAGTTTTAAAAGTCTAAGGAATTTCCTAGGACAAAGGACACTTTAACATTCTTGCACAAAGGAAAACAAGAAATTCATACATTTAAAATGTGAGGAAACTACCCTATAACCAAGTATAGACAAAAAGAAAAGATGACATAAAGTTCATACTTACCACCACAAAAAAAAAAACAATGCAGGAAGGCACAGTACTAATTAAGAGGGGAAACACAAAAAAAAACATATTCTACATACTTGTACACCCAGACAGCTTTGATGAAAAGTCGAAGGGCAACCATCACAACAGATAAGGTCCCCACCATCACCACATCTACCACAAGTATCATCATCAGGGTCATCACTGTCTGCATTCACAGTGTGGAAATCTTCCCGATCAGATTCTCCTTGCCGATTCCATGCATCTACCAAGCACTCCAGCAAAGAAACACCAGACTCCAAGATTATGTTTTGATACGGTTGACGCAATGTACTTCCTGCATGCAGCTCAAATTTTGAAACTGGAAGAATTTTACTACAGCAACCACAATGGATGCCATCTCGTGTTATCCAACCTTCTAGCTTTACTCTGGTCCTCCTACGATTCATATATTGAACCTTCTGACTTAACTTCGCTGTCCCAGAGTCGATCATCCAGGCCAATAAGGTTCTCTTTCCAGTATAAGGAACATAGCCATCGCTTTCAGAATCTTGCTCCTTATCAGACCTGCGAACCAACAATGTACATCTCCCAATTATCCTACTTTTTCTTCCCTGTATTTCACTGGAAGCAGCTCCAATAGATGATTTTCCGGACACCTCTTGCCTAGATCTTCCTCCCTTTGAAGAATCGTCACTTGTATCACCATCAGTCTCCTGATCTGTTGCATGCGACTTGCATTTCAGAAACTTACCTTTCTTCTTTACATAGCTACTTAGCCTTTCCTCATGCTGATCATCATCTGTGTCCTCGGAAGACTCTTGCATAGTAGACTTCATGTAATCTCTGTTCTTGGCATCATCTTTTCTTTTCTTTTTCATTTCTTTCTCGATCTTCTTCCGTGTTTTCCTGGTTAGCTTATTGATTAAATCATCAGCTAATGGAGCAAACGAAGTTGAGCCACCATCAAGTTTTCTTTTTCCTGGATCTTCCTCTGTCTGTTTTTGCAGTGCATCATAAGCCTTAATTATTGACCAGTATGCTGTTCCACTAGGATTAATATACACTGCATCCAAGTAATCTCTGTTCCTTCTTGGTCTATAGTCAATGGTCCATCCAGCTTCAATAAGCATTCCTCTGATCCTCTCACGCAGTTGCTGCTTCTCAGTACTCGCACCTCGTTTCAATTTTCCTTCTTTGCTTTTGGCAGGGGTAATATTTTCAGCTGCTATGGACCTGTTTTCTTCCTTAATCACCCTAGCCTTTGAGCAAGCAGGCTGAAGCTGCTGCTTCTCCATACTCCCACGACGTTTCAATTTTCCTTCTTTGTTCTTAGCAGGGGTAACATCTTCAACTGCTACAGACCTGCTTTCTTCCTTAATCCTCCTCGTCTTTGAGCTAGGTGGTGCCAAATTAAGTGATGTATCAGTTCCATCGTTTTCAGAGTCTATAGACTTAATGCCTTTTGCCAAGAAAGATTTTTGTGATTTCAACTCAGCCTGCTCTGTTTTAATGGACAATGGTCGTTTTTCAGGGCGTTTAGAATCCGAGTGCAAAGAAGCTCGACGTAGCAAATCCTTCTTGACAACATCGTCAGAACTGGAACCTTTCCTACTTTCGACATCATAATCCTTGTGTGATGATAAGTCTATCTTCTTCTTCTTATTCACCATTACCTTCAAGACTCCATTTTTCCCTTGAAATCTTATAGGTTCTTGAGACAATTCCCTACTCTTCAACCTAAGCAATGAAATTGGCATATGTGCTTCATCGTCATCATCAGAATCACTCCTTTCCTTAGAACTATCAATATTAGAGTGCTTACTCTTCTCAATCATCATATTCCTACTAGAACTCCCAGTTCTTGCAGCATTCCACTTCATCGCCTCATTGAATTCATCGTATTCGTCGAAATCAAACAAATCTAACTTACTTCTCTTACTCTCACTTTCAATATTCTCATTCCTACCAAAATCTCTACTTTCCACGCCACTTTTTGCACTGCCAACTGACCCATTGTGAAATTTCTCTCCACCCTTTCTCCTAATTGGCTCCAATGACTCTTCACTCGACTCCGAAGCACTCTCAACCATTCTAGGCCTCTTTTTCACCTTCTGTGAACCCCTTGAAGTACCCACACCCCCTCCTCCACCCATACCTATTCTATCATCTTTCTTCTTAATTATCAAACACCCAGATGAACTTTTCTTCTTCACTACACCCCCTGATCTCACACTACCCTCCATACTCAAACCTTAATTCATAAAGAAAAAATATTGAAAATTCACCCCAAAAGTTCTCAAACAAACTTACAGAAATCCAAATTCTTCGTTCAGTTATCTAACATTTACAGATCTGAAACAGAAAAAAAAACACAACTCTTTCAATTAAAAACAAAAATTAGGGAAATTTCGTTGGTGTTCAGTGAGTAAATTTGATTTGCATGAAAAGAATCGACGGGCGACGGCGATCTTTACCTAACCGGGAAGTTTGGGAACTGAATCGACGGCAGAATTACCTTGTTGATCCGATCAGTGACGTAATTCTCCGGCGAAGCAAGCGAATCGCAGAAGAAGGATAGAGAGCAATTGTATTGGTTCTGGGCAATAACTCTGTATATATATGAACAGAGCCCATTTATTTTTTTATCAAAATAATAATAATAATAATAATAATAATAATAATAATAATAATATTTGTTTTACTATATACAATATTTTGTTTTTAAAAAAATTATTTTATACTTAGATATAGATTAAAATAATTTTAGAATCTTAAAATTCTGATATTGATGCATAAGTAGTTCTGAACTGATACATTCTGTTTCTTGAACAAATAAATAAAAGAGTTCAATTAATATGTTAATATTCTTATTTTCATTCACTAATATTTATTTAGTCTCCTGTTAGGTTTCCACAAGTAATTTTATTTATGATTAAGTGTACATCAGAAAAATAATTATTTTATTTATGATTTCTTAAGAAGTTTGTAAAAAAGAATAAAATTAATATGAGATGAAGAAAATAGTTCTCCTCATCACCCAAGATTGTGGTTGAGTGGTAAAGTTTTTTCGAGTTTAAATTATTCTTGATAAGAAATCTTCTTTATTAAAAAGTGTGTTATATTCTTTTTTATCTTTTAAAAAACACAAATTATCATAAAGTGGATTGTCTACAATTTACTTTTTCCATTCAATTTTATTTGTCATGTTGACTAATTTTTAAAATTAAGTTAAATTACATTAACTTGATATTTTAAACAAAAACATATAAAATAATTACAAATTGTAATTTTTCGCATATCAATATGATAGAAAAAATATATCGTAAAATGTTAGTCAAAATTTTTATAATTCTAAGAAAAATATAACAATTAAAAATAGACGGAAATAATAATACCAAAAAGAAAATTAAGTTTTTAGTTAGCGTTGGAATAAGAATGTAAAGTGATTTAGAATTTATTATTTAATATTTATTTAATTATGTATAATTAGAATTTGTTTGTTTAAGTTCATATAGAAATATAATTTTTTTAATCCAAATTTAATTTGATTTTTCAGTTAAATAGAATTTTTGAGGCAGCAATTGCAGGTAGTAAAAAGGGGTAAAAAAGAGGAGCAGTAGAATCCAAAGGTTTCTAGATGTGTCAGTTGAGCATACCGTTGTTTATCAGTTAACTCTTTTTTCTTCTAAATTTCACTCACACATTTTAGTTGTGACTTTTTTTTATATATATAAAATACATATTTTTAAATTTGATTAATATGAATTTATGTTTATTTTAGTATTTAAGTATTTCTTTTATTAAAATACGATTTTATATTAAAAATTTAAATTTGAAACTTTTGATTAGAAATAAAGGAATATAAATCACAATATTTAGTAACAGCTCACAATTTTTATACGTAAGTAGTTTTAATAAAGTTAGAATTCATTTTGTTTTGAATTAAGTGACTTGATATGAAATTTAAGAAAGTAAATGAAAATTTTGAATCTTGTGATTTTAAATTAATGATGTGTCAATTTTTTTTTATTATATCCAAAATTTGAACTCGAAACTCTAATTAAGAGAGTAACAACACATTCACTATATCTATCCTCTGGTGGTATTTTACCTTTATTTCGTTGGAGAAATTATTTTTATAACTTTTTTTTGTTATTGATTTAATAAAAAAGACGAGTATTATTAATTTAAACTTAAGAAAACCAATATCTCTTTAAGCATCTATGAGAAAGGGACAAGAAAAAATTTTTAATCAAACACTTGTAAGTTTGTAAGTTGTAACAATGTCAAACCAAATGAGGCCTTAACTAATACAATTATTAATTTTTCGCTTCAATTTTATCATCAACATTTTCAGATAACTGACAAAAAAGAAAAAAGAAATGTTGCATAATTTTTTAAAATTTAGTTGTGTGTACGAGTCTGTTATTTTATGCAAATATTAGTTATAAAGGGAGTATTAAATCATCAATTGAACGTCGTATAATTTTATATATGAATAATTTATTTTTTGTCTACCTACTAAATATTATATAAGTTAGACGTGAATTAATTCATGAATAACTTATTTCTTATACAGCTACCAAATAACTTGTAATATGATTAATGTATACACAGCATATACATACTATATATATACTTTGTACATATTTTGTATGCAAAGATTTCTGACTATTCTGTCGTT